TTCCTTCAGGAGCTCAAGGCAGCATACACAGCAGACTTTCCTCCAATTTTTCCCCACAACAATCCTGTGTGGTAGGCTAACAGTGACCTTGAACCTTCCTGGTTGAAACTCTAGGATAGCTGGGAAACCCCCCCCCCCCCTCCGAATCCTGCATTTCCATTCAGCTAGCTCAGTGTTTTTCAAACTTGGCAATGTTAATTGTGCAGACTTCAACTCCCAGAGTTGCCATGTTTGAAAAACACTGAGCTAGACTGTTCTGAAGCAATTTTCATCTCTGACTGGTAAATATCACTGGTTTCTACTGTCTTTCTACATATCTCCAACTGTTTTAAGAACAGCAGGAATTCAACTTCTACTATTTTCTTATTTAAAATAATTCTACAACTTTTTTTTTTTAGGGCAAAAACTTCCCTAGTGGATGACAATAAAAAAGCATTTATTAAACAACAGTAAAGCCTACAACACATAAAGTATGAATAAGGTTTACAATCACCACTAGTTAAAACATTATCACCATAACGGACTACTAAAAAAAGGTTTTTTTTTTTTTTTTTTGGTACCTTCCAGTCAGTGTTGACTTCTGGCAACTGCCTAGAAAAGTCCCTGCAGTTTTCTTGGCAGCATTTTCAGAAGTGGCTTGTCCTTGCCTGCTTTCTAGGACTGAGAGTGACTGGCCCAAGGTCACGCAGCTGGCTTTGTGTCTGAGGTGGGACTAGAACTCACAAACTCATGGTTTCTAGGCTGGTGCTTTAACCACGATACCAAACTGGCTCTCAGAATTAGGCTTGGTTACAGCTAATATCCAGAAAAGACCACTAAAGCCTCATTAGGAGAAAGACTTGTTGGGGGGGGGGGGGGGAATTGATAGGTCACTACGGTTTTTTAAGAAACTGGTAGTGATACAGCCTGACAGAGCAAGAGATCACTTGCTCCACCTGTTAAGATACCTCCATGGAAAATCTCTCTCTTAAAAGCTCTTTCAGGAGGGTATCAGTCTCTGTTCCAGGCGAATAGGATAAACGCCATCCTACCAACAACATGGTCCACAGCAGTTTAAGGTTAATGTCAGCAACAGCTCTGTGAGGTAGGCTGAGCTGAGAGAAGAGGGCCCAGTGAGTTTTGGTGGCTGAGGGTGGAACTGAACCTGGGTCTCCCCAATTCTAATCCCAGACCTTAATTCAGGGTTTATCAAACTCTGCAATACTAAGAGCTCCCCTAAAATGAAAAATGAATTTGCTACCCCTTGTTAATAAAATTGAATCGTTCATTCATTCATTTTCATTCATTCATACAATCAACCAACTAATTAATCAATCATAAAACTGTTGTTACTGGTGGATGGTTTTCACAGATATCTGGATCCTCCAGATCCAGCCCTTTCTCAAAACTACTCGTCTTTGCTTTCCACTTGGCTTGTACAAGCCTGCTGTGAGGTTGCCCAAGCAAAGTGTGAGTTCTGAAAGTGCTCCTGCTTTTTCTGAACAAGCCTGATAAAAATTGCTATCTCTGGTGTAAATTGCCCTTGACATCCTAAGGGGTCATAACATCCCTCTTGAGACCACAATTTTTAAAAATAATATTCTTATTCGATATTTTAAATTCTGGGCATGTAAACACTGTAAAGTCTGGAGAAAAGAAAGAGAAATAGAAGTGGAATGTTATGTTCTTCTTTCACAAATACAGGCTGTATCAAAAATATCTACTTTAGTCTGTTTTAATTAGGCTGTGCTGTGAATAGTCAGGCATAAAGCTCAAACATACGCAGTCCAAACTTCTGAAAAGAACAATAAGTCATCAGTCTATTGAACTCTAGTGAAACTTTATCTTTCCTGTGAAAAGGCTACATCCCTCCATGATCATGAGAACAATGGTCTCTGGGGATCACAACCATTAAAGGGTATCCACCTCAAAATGTGCAGTGCTCAGGCCAAACAGCTAACGACAACAATGGTCCAAAGACATTGAGAAATACAACGGATGTACTGCAACCTGTATTATCCTCCTGTCCCGTATTAAGCATTATCCTTGCTCCAGCTTCTTTACAGAACAGGTGAAATGTGAAACTCAAATCCCACATGAAATAGCCATAGTTAAAGTTCTTGGGATTAGGGTCTAGTAATTATATTCTGGATGACTGCTGTTCTGAAGGAAAAATAATAAGAGTCATCTTCTCATCTTCACTTACAGTGGGAGGTTGTGGTGAGGAGGTTTGATTCTCTCAGAAATGTCCTGCAATTTGCAGAATCAGAACACTGGGTTATCCTGGCACTGAAACGAGCTACAGTTAAAGTATATAATGAACTTAAGAATAAAACATTTATGTGATATTGCTGGTTTTACAAGTGAAATCAGATTGAGGTTGGTCTTGGAGTTTTGTGGGAGATTTAATGTCATTCATTAATAACTAACTTGGCATGCCTCACCTTCTGTTGACATTTTCAGCAGGCTATAAAAACATTCCCGTAGAACTATTCTGCAGGAAGATTAATTTTAAATCAGGAGTAAACAGTGAAAATTACTGAAATGGGGACATCTAGTGGCTCCATCTATTCCTACTTTTCAAAAGAGTGAGACCTTGACAATACAATGGCAAAACAAATTGGACTTGTTCTTTCACTGAGTAGTAGGATTTGATTGGTTGCTTTTTCCTTGCTGGCTCAAAAGATAAAAGGTACAAAACAGAATGAGTTGAGCCTTAAAAAAATAGCACTATACAAAAGCTTTGGAATTCATTGTTTAATGCACATGTTCAGAGTTTTCCAAGGTTGAATTTCACTCAGAATGCAGCAGCCCATTTATTATCAGGAATTAATCCGCAAGTATGTAGCAGTCATGCTAAAATACAGCACAGGCTGCTAATTAGCTTCCAGTTACCATTTAAAATGGTTGTTTAAATACTAAAATTCCTACATAGATTTTGACCAGGTCATCCAATGCAGTAGTTTTGACACAGTATCGGTTCTATGCTGTCAGGTCCCCTGCACCAACTTTCTTCCTCACTTGAAATTAGGCTAAAGCAGATGATCTCCAGCAATTCCCAGCCATGAGGACAGGCTGATTCTGCTCTTTCTCCCAACTTGATACGTGCCCCTACAGGCTGGGATGATGGAAGTTGTGTTTCAAAAGTTTGGAGGGGGCCAGGTTGAGGAAGGCTACCTTAGGAAGTAAAATTTTCTGTTTTACTTCATTTGATTGGGGAAAGTTTCTTGCATCACATGTGAGGAAGATATTATATTTTAATAAAGCAAATCTTTTTTAAGATATGTCCTAACATTCAAATGCTCTTTTTATAGTACTTATAGTTTACAATCTCATTTCTATTTGATTTTCAGGAATATGGCATTTTACTTCTTTTCTTCTTAAAGATTCACACACTTTCAGAGTATAAATCGCATGCACTACTTATAATAGTGGAATGGTATTGATTGCTACAATAAGATGCAAGTATGTTATTAACTCTATGTTAAAACATCTCAGGAGGAATTAAATGATGCAAATCCTTTTTGTAGCAAGCCAATTTGTGGGTGAACAGAGATATAAAAAAAATGGTGTCTTTAGAGGAACTGGCAGGAATTTGAAACAAAGCTAAATCCTAATGGCATGTAAAGCACCTAAGATAATCTCTGCTTTATGAGCCTTTTTTTGGCAAAGAAACAAATGCCATTAAAGTATCATTGCAATAAACCAATATTATATAAGCGACAGCATGATTTATATGAAAAGTCAGCCTTTCTATACCAATGCTAATGATATATAGCTTTTTAATACGGAAAGAACAACAACTTTGTGGGACTCATAGAGGTGAATATGTGTAGCTCAGGGTTGAACTGTAGAGTCCTTGGGGTTCTCTTTGTGGGACTCAATTAGACTGAAATATGTTGACATCCAATGACATTCTGTTAGTTTTCAGACAACTTCATATTCTTCCTACTACACCATTCCTGAGCAGCTCCATGTGCTAAACTCCCTGTGCCACAATCCTGCTTGGATTTTAGCACAAAGATTTTTCAGGCAGCCCCCAGGGGGTGTTTAGCAAATGGAGCTTTGGGGGCTGCCTGAAAAAGCTTCATGCCAAAAATCCAAGCAGGATTTTCAGCCAGGGAGGATGGGGAAGAGAGCAGGTGGGGGAGGGAGCAAGGGGTGCATAGGGGTACGTGGGATGGTCAGGTGCACGGGGGGTGTGGTGCGGGTCTGGTGCATAGGGGTGTAATGTGGCTTGGGCTCCCTCACACATCTGACCCACACTGCACCCTCACACACCGACCCTCCCCTCCCACACACACCCATGCACCCCTTTGCTCCCTCCCCCACCTGGCAGTGCCTGGGGCTTGCAAATTCCTGTTGGCTTCCCCACTGACTTGATTGTGGGAAAACAGCAGGAAGTTGCCTCACCTAACGACCGGGGCATTCAGTTACGATGGCAACTGGGACTGCTGGGATTGGTCGCTAAGCAATGCAGTCATGTGATGTTTCACCTTAATGACCACATCACTTAGCAACCAAAGTTCCAGTCCCAATTGTGATTATATAGCAAGGACTACCTTTATTTCATTATATTCATTATATTTCAAATATTCATTATATTCCAAATATTTGGTCTGAGAGACAGTTTGGTATAGCGGTTAAGGCACCAGGCTAGAAACAGGGAGACCATGAGTTCTAGTCCTGCCTTAAGATATGAAAGCCAGCTGGGTGACCTTGGGCCAGTCACCCTCTCTCAGGAAAGAGAGAGTGACTCCAAAGGCAAGGACAAATCACTTCAGAAAACGTTGCCAAGAAAACTGCAGGGAGTAGTGCAGGCAGTAGCCAGGAGTCAACACTGACTCGAAGGCACGATATGTAATATATATGAAATAATATTTACAGATATGCACCTCAGACTTCTAAAAAATCATCGAATTTATTATGCATTATTACGTTTTCCGACATTTTAAAATTCTTTTACACCTATTTGTATTTATTCCTGATAAAGACAGGATATAACATTAAGATTCTAGGAAGTAACAACAACGTAATATAAATGGTTGAATGTATTATTGGCATTCTTAACGAAGTCTTGGAAAAAGTTGGCTGGAAAACTGTTGCAGCGGAAGAAATATCTCGTAAAGAGCTATGAAGAGATACGCAAAAATAATCTCCCCACGCACCGCTGCAACGAACAGGCTTCCAACACCTCCAACTCGACTACCGTAGACTCAGAGCAGGGCAGACGTCACTTCCCCAGAGTCAGTCGCACGAAAGGCACGTGACCGCCCAAGCAGCGATGACGAAATTTGACGTTCCTTCACAGTCACGCGCTTTCTCTCTCGCCCGCCGCCTCCCTGTTGCCTCCACAACCGAGCCGTAAATCCATGCCATCATCCGAACGGCCCTCTGCTGTGCATCTCCGTTGCCACAGCAACCATGCTAGACCGTAAATGAGAGCAGTCGTCAAATCAAGACCTGCGGCTCTAACAGTACGTCGGGACTTTAGTGAGCCAGGTGGTTTCTTTCCGGTCGGGGTCCTGCCGACTTCATAGAAGTTTCCTTGTTGTTTTCTGGGCCATCGCGTGGGAGTGGTTTGCCACTCTCTTCCCCCGGGATGTTTTCCGACTTCCCATTCGCGACTGCAGGCCTGGGATTCCCTAGTGGTCTTCTATCCACGCACTAACTAGGCCCGACCTGTATAGCTTCAGAGCCCAGCAAAGTCAGCCGGGTGTCCCAAGGAAGTGGCCAGAAGAAACGCCGCCTTTGAAGGTTAACCCTGCGCTAGACTCCTTCTGACGCACCCTTGGCAGCGTTTGCAGGGTGCACTGAGCCATGTTTTACTCCAGAGCCCAGCCCCGCCTTCGGTCGTAGCTCGCGAACCCAGACAACGGGGCTTTCGGAACAGTTCCTTTAATCTTGGGCACGGGTGTCTTGTGAACGCGAGCTCGGGGCCCGGGCGGGCTCACTGGATCGGTCAAGAGAGCCGTCGGTGGGAAGCGGAGCGACTGAGCGGGATCCTCCCTCCGCGAAGGGGACAAACGAAGCGGAACCCGCCTCGGTCAGCCTCGCACTACTCGGCGGGCTGTTCCCGCAGAGCTTCAAACTCATCAGCCTCTTTCGAGAGAAGCGCCGCTTTGCTATCTGGGCGGTGAACGAACGAGGAGCGGCTCCGCTTTAAGACTAAGAGTCCGGCGCAGGGAACGGGGTTCCCTTGCTTGAGAAACCGCTTTGAAATCTGGTTGCGGGTGGGCTATAATCGCTGTCAGCTGCAGGAGTCCATAAAGCAGAAACTGGGAGCAAGGGCTGCAGTCAGTCATCTAATCGTAAAGCCTTCGGTCCCGCGTTTTAGTACCTAGTCATCCATGTGCGGAGCGAAGACTCCTCTCTCTGGTCTGGTTGTAAATGCAGTCCTTTGAAAAATGGGTTGCAGAAAATCATCGATAAGGAGCCCCTCTTCTTGAATTACTTCAAAAATATTTAATCCTGTTTTAAAGTGAAGAACATAGGGGGCAAATCAGAGAAACAAGAACTCCCGTGTTTGCACAGTTGAATTTCTACACAGTGTACAGATGTATTCTTTTAAAATGCTCATAGCAACCTAATTAGATTCCTTTAGTTTTTAACATTAGTAATGTGAGAACAATTAGGTACTTTGAGATTCTAAAATTATTAACTAATAACAAATTCATATACTGCATGCCTGATTTCCCTCCTTAGAAGGCATATAAAGGCTGAGTGTCAGACCTAGACGTATGCATGGAACTGTTATTTTTTAAAACTTTTAAGAAATAACAGGCTGGTGTGGGTCTTCCGGGCTGTGTGGCCGTGTTCTGGAAGTTTTGTTTCCTAACGTTTCGCCAGCATCTGTGACCGGCATTTTCAGAGGGCAGGAGCACAGACAAGAGCAGTTCTCTCTGTGCCCAGTCTGCTCCTGTCTGTGCTCCTGCCCTCTGAAAACGCTGGTCACAGATGCTGGCGAAACGTTAGGAAACAAAACTTCCAGAACACGGCCACACAGCCCGGAAGACCCACACCAGCCATCGTATTCCGGCCGTGAAAGCCTTCAACAATACAAATAACAGGCTCTTTCTTCTTCCATTGTTGCAGAGAAATCTGTGTGGAGTTCCTTTCCTTATTTACCAAGAGTAGGAGGTACCTGCAGGAGCCCATTTATAATCACTGTTTGAATTAAGTTCTCTGCTGGAAACCATAAAGGTTCTTTCTTAACTGTTCTAAACAAGAGAACGAAAAAATGCATGCTTGTGTGTGTGTGTGGTGTTATTACTTTCACCTCAGTTGGCTTGTGGTCTGTGTAAAAGAACTTGTGCAAGTGTTTTTTTTTTCCTTTCCCATTTTGCTTTTGAGTGAAAGGTTATAAAAAGTGCCAGAGCAGAAAGCAGCATCTAGCAGACACTGGCCATTCCTCCCCACCTCCAGAAATGCTAAGCATGATCAAACCTGGTTAGTACTTGGATGGGAGAGAGCATTACAAATGGCTACGCTGGAGATTAGAGTGGGAAGTGGGAAAACATCTAAAAGAAGGCAATGCTTATTACTAGCAAAGGTTCCAGTGTGGATGGGATATGAAGTCCCTTGAAGCCACATTTGATTCAAAAGAGACTTTCTTTTGTATTTTGGGAAGGGCCTATAACTCAGTAGAGAGCCATACCATTATTATGCATAAAAGTCCATGCTCAGTCACTGGTATATCCACTATTTTAAGCCTTGGTCCTAGGAAACACTTTGCAAGCTGTTAAAGAGTACAGATAGTCCTCGCTTAACAACCACAATCAGGACTGGCAACTCCATCACTAAGCAATGCAGTCATATGTGATTGCAACGGGCTTATGACCTCACTTCTGCCATGGTTGTTAAGTGAATCACCCACGGTTGTTAAGCACAATGTCACATGACTGGAGTTTGTGATTTTACTGCTGGCTTCTCCATTGACTCTGCTTGTCAGAATCCAGCTGTGAAGCACACAAATGGTGATGTGGGATGTTGCAATAGTCATAAACACCTGCCAGTTGTGAAGTGCCTGAATCTCAATCGCATGACTGCAAGGACTGGTCATAAAGTTACATTTTCAGTGCCATCGTAACTTTGAGCAGTCACTAAAAAGGGCAGTCATTAAGTGAGGACTATCTGTAGATAGCTTTGGACAATGTGAATATAGCTTCTGAAAGCTGTGGTTGCAACCTTGACAGTCCCTGTAAAAGTTGCTACCAAACTCTAATTTTTAATGTGCCAAGAGAAAAGTTATTAAATACAAAGTGAATAATCATATTAATTATATTAAATTGAAACCCAATTCAGTATTTGCTTCATTTATCTTTTTTTTTTTTTGTCCTGAATTTGCCTCCTTTTGAAAACAGTCCCCACTGTAGTGCTAAAGCACCAGGTGCAACCCTTGGTTCCAAAAGTGCACCCTGGAACGAGAACAAATAGTCTGACATGAGGTGAGACAGTTGCATGTACAGCCCCTTTCCCTACAGCCCTTTTCTTTGAATATGTGATAAGCAGAAGGTTCCTTATTTTGTTCGTGGGTGTATGAGGGGAAAGAAAAGGGCATCCAACGGGCCAAAACTTTTCTGTATTTGCAAATTCAGTTTGACTTTGATTTCTGAGATGTGGTACTTGCTTGCTTTTATCAAGATCCTTCTACATGTCCACAGATTTTACTGGATTTTCTTGTCAGTCCTGCAAGTGCCTAGTGAAAAGCTTGAGTGCAAATACAGCAAGGAGAAAAGATGATTTGATTGTACAAGTATGTCAGAGGATGGTATTTAGGATTATCATTACTAAATTAATTACCAAAATAGAAGAATACTTTGTCGCTAACGTCTGAGTAGGCAATCTTTTGCTTTTGTTCTATCGATTTCAGTATATCTAATCAATTCAAGAGAAGGAGTTTTGGCATTAGTGGTACATAGAGTACATTTAATAATTGCGAGTATAACAAAATATATCAAATATTTCTTCATGCTATTTACCTTTAGGTACTTTCACTGAAAGAGAAAGATAAAACAAAATGGCAGAAGCAATTTTTCATCCTCCAAGAAGGAAAAGAAAAGTATATGAATCATATGATTCTCCATTCCCTGTTTCACCCTCCGTAGAAGGCAGTCATGGAAGAGTTTATAAAATGTGCCAGGCTGAATTTATAAATAACAATGTAATTGTGAAGAATCCTGAAGATATAGAACAGCTATATAGCAAGGTATTTTTGGCTCACTTTATTTGTATAATCTATTAAACTAATCAATCTTGGATACTGATCCTATATTGCTGTTTGAACAAAGAATGTTCTCCTAAATCAAATGGTTGATACCATGGTTTTGTTTGTTTTCTAGGGATTTTTTGGAAAAGGTATTCTTTCAAGAAGTCGGCCAGAATATAGTATTTCAGATCCTATATTGGCTGCTAAGTGGAAAGGTAATTTGGAATATGTATGTATGTATGTATTTATTAGACTTATACAGTTGCCCACCTTATGTACCATAACCCTGGACAGGATCACAAAACAACAACCAAAAAACCCCCCTCAAAAACTATAACAAAAACTCCTGGCACCCCAAAGGCAACACTCGCCTGCACATCCACATTCAACTGTACTGGGCTCCAGCTTCACCTTACCCCAACACTTGCGGGAAGAGCCAGCTCTTCAAGGCCTTCCAAAAGGCGGGCGGGGGGGGCGCTGGCAGATCTCAGGGGAAAGGGTGTTTCACAGAGCAGGGGCTGCCAGAGAGAAGGCACGCTTTCTAGGTCCCATGAGATGACAACATTTAAGGAAAGGGATCTGGACGTGCCCACCCTATCAGACTTAGTGGAAACGGTAGATACTCTCTGGGATCACAAATAACCTGGCCTACCACCTTCATAATAATCTTCCCTAAAACAGGAAGGTTGGAGAATGGACGAAAGTTGCCCAACATGGTTGGTCCAAGGAAGGCCTCTTGAGAAAGAGACATACCAATGCCTCCTTCAAGGGAGGCAGCCCCACCCCATCCTGCAGTGAGGCACTAACTGCATGTCATCTCCCAGAAGATCTTAACCAACCAAGAGGGGCACCAGTCCAGCATAGAAGTAGCAGAACTGATACCCCCGAGGACCTCTGCCCACTTCCTCAGGAGTAATCAACTCAGATTCTTCCCAGATAAATTAAAAAGGCACGTGGTAGCCATTTAGTTACACAGTATCACAACAGTGCTGCTTGGCGTCCTCTGATTGTGCAGATTGGGAGATAGCTATACTTTTCAAATTTATTTTCAAGATTAGAATAGTTCTATATTTATTTACCACATTTATATACCACCCCTCTCCCAGCATTCCATGTGGTTTTCATAATAAAGCTTTTTGAATATTATACAGTAAATATCTTATTACAAATATATTTCCTGAAACTGTATCCAAACTATTTTATTAATGTTCTGATGCTTTGAATGCAAAAACAATAATTATATGTTTTATTGCAGATGCTAAGTTAAACATGCCAATAGTTTCATCAAAAAAGTAAGTTCTTCTCTTTGCTTTGTCTAGTCTAGAGTTTGAGGCTTAGCTTGCTTATTAGCTATAAAATAAGTTTAATCAACAAGTGTTGCCTCATTGTTAGATACTTTAAAGAAACAAAGTACTCTTTCTTTGATTCCTTACTTAAATCTTCCTTTTACCATTATTTTTCCAAGTATTGAGTGATTAAAGTGGGAAAATCTAAATATGTGCAGGTTTTTCTGAACCAAGGATTATCAAGCAATTATTCATTTGACTTGGCTTTTGAGTATTAGACTAGCAGTCATCTGTTCCAATAGTTTATATTGAATCTTGCTTCAGAGTTAACAGGAAAGTATGTCAAGCGTGGTCACAGTATGATTCTGGCTGGTTCGCAACCATAATTTCAGCAAACCATGTCTTTCCAGAGTTAAATGGTGATTTTCCACCTTGGGATTACAGTTCCTTCTGAAGCAATTAAGCTGGCTGCACATTTAAACTTGCCTTTTTGAATGGATGACAATTTCCTGGTCTTGCCATAAATGGTCAGCAATGGAGATTGAACCAGCTACAGCTTTTCAGACCCCATTGTTTATAACTCAGTAGAGCGCGCGTACACATACATTTTATTCTTAAGAAGAATGATCTTAAGAAATTTTGTCTATGCTTCATTCCTCACTGACTTTTTATCTAGAGATAAAACATTTGGCTGAGAATGGGACATATATTCAGGTTCTTAAGCAGTAATGGTGAGTTCCCTCTTCATAGGAGCCTGAAATTTAGAGTAATCCTTGCTTGCTATATTTAGGTATGTAGGAAAAAGCCTTGCCTGTTGCAAAAAAGAACATATTTAAACCTTCCAGACCCTTTCAGTCTGACCTTTGATAGCAAGAACAAGTTGCTCACACAGTTAGAGATCCTCAGATAGTTATAAAGGAGCCACAAAAGAACCTCTCTTCTTGAAATTATGCTTCCTTATCCAAGTTTAAGAAGCGTTAAAAAAGATACATTTTTGTGTGATGTCAAAGCAATCCAGAAAGCTAAGGGAGAACACTTTTTATAATTCTTGATCAGATCAGAGTTTACTGTGAATCAGTAGGTAAGGGATACTACTTCAAAGAATTATTTCTCAGAGTTTGCTTGTCTGTTCAGAAACAAGTTTATGTGCTATTTATAAAAGTCACATCTCACATTGCTGTTGTTTCTTAGTAATGTAAAAAAAGTTCAAGAAATATGCTGAAACATCACAACTTCAAATTTAGGCCTGTGTTAGCAGAATTGTAAAAATAGCGTCCATGCACTGGCTCAGATATGGAGTTTATTCCATCTTTTTAGTTTTCAGAAGATGAACACAGGCATCAGAGCAATTTTGGATCTTAAAGGGCTGAGCAAACAATTCAGAGAAGCATTTAAAAATGGAAGTGTTGGAGTTTACTGTGGCAGCCATCAACAAACATTTCTGGTATCAATAGATCTTTTTGAAGCATACTTCATATCCCAGTCAAGAAGAAACTGCAGCATTATACACTCCAAAGTTTTTCTGACATTATGAATCTAATGGCACTGGCACTGACCATGCCTTGCCAGAACCTTGCCTTGGGTCTCAGTACTATTCTCTATTACAAGATAAATGACAGATACAGTTTGAAAAAAAACCACATTCAGAAGATTGTATTGGCCATTTAGTCTTTCATGAGTCTCTGTGTCCATCCCAGCTTGAATCTATAATAAACTAGGATTGTGGCTGAATCTCTAAACGTACAGTGGGAATGATTGTGGAAGAAGCAGACAAAATAAGCATAACCACAGTGCTGGTCTTCTTGGATGGGAAGCAACTTGTCCAATCAAGTTACTAAAGGCACTTTGACCTCAAGAGGGCAACAGCAAAATACAGAATACAGAATACTTTAATGGCAAAGTATAAAATACAGTATATACAAGGAATTTGTCTTCGCTGACAAACGGCAAAATCAACAATGTGTTTGGATAGCAGCAGAAAAAGGAATGATAATAAACAATAACACTACACAGTAAAATAACTTTTTCAATATTGGTTGGCTAGAATTTAAAATAGTAAGATTCAGTCTCAGCATGAAGGACTGACACATTTTAGTTAAAAAACAGTATTTCAGCAAAAGCTTACTTGAACAAGCGGAGAAGTATGCAGTCGTTCAAGGAAATACAACCTCTCTGAGAGAATAATGCACAATACAGCCATTTTCTCTAACACTACCAAATCTTAATTTCTTAAATGACAATGTAAGAGTTTCTGAACAACTAATACAAATAAGTGGTGAAATTAAATATTTCCTTTAGTCTATTGCATTTGGGATGTAATGGGTTTTGTATTTGGGGTCTGATTTCTGTAAGCCACCCAGAGCCACCGTGTATGAGTTGGGCGGCTATATAAATTTGTTTAATAAATAAATAAATATTTCAAAGAAAAGAATGTTCAAATATTCCTAAAAAATTGTATCCTAAATGTAATTAAGACCCTAGAACTCAAGCTGGAATTCAGATTCAGCTCTACAATTCTAGTCTGATATTGTTGTATTATTATTTATTTTATCTTATTTGCAAGTTGCTCTTCCTCCAGGTGCTCAAGTTGCAAGAGTAGCTTGCAAATAAAATAAATAATAATACAACAATCATCATAAAAGGAATGAGTAAAAAGAGTGAAATTACTGATCTCGCCATTCAATAATGTACACGTTACACTTGTGAATTTTTAATCTACTTTGCCTCAACTAGTGCCATTTAGCTCTAGACTCTGTCTTGATCAAAACATAAAAGCTTGAATGGATTATAGTACATTTATGTACCACTGAGAATCCCAGCGGCTGTGGGTCTCTTACATGGGACAGTCCTCACTAAATCTGTCAGGACAGGTGGGTCATACCTAGTCTTCATGTGTTCTGCAATATAAAAATAATCAAATATGTTTATTTTGTGAGTAGCTACAGATATAGAATATATGATTACATAAATTAAATATACCTAAGACTTTTGTGAAACTTGGGAAGTGATCATTTGTTTTGCAGATACTTTTATATTGTTTGTACATAAAACTTCTGCATACTACAAGCTCATACTTTCTGTTTTCTTCTATTCCAGGTACCAATGTTGTATTGAATGGGCTAAAAATCTTCTGTCAGAACAGGGAATGGATGACTCCACAATTAATACAATCATTCAAAATTACACTAAACAAATTAATCTGAGAATAGAAACTGGAGAAAGTAATGGATTTCAAGGTGAAGGAACGCGTAAAATGGAAGCCAATAAAGAAGAACCAAAGCTTTTAATGACTTCATCTGAAGTTAATGGGAATAACATAATGTGTTTTAAAGATGATTCAGTTTGTGATCCATTAGTCAAATATGACTCTAGTGAATCAGACATAACAGACTCTAAAATTGTAACTAAGACTCATTCAGCACAACAGCGTCCTCTCAATATATATGACAGCTGCAGAGAAGACAATTATATTGAACCAGAATCTTATTGTTTCATTAATAATGAATATAAGCATGAGCTTGTACTAATACAAGAAGAAGAATCAAATCTGAGTTTGGAAGAGGAAACAAGTGAGGAACTGCATGTAAGTATAACTTGACTGGGGAACAGTAAAGTCAATTTAAAAATTATTAAATTGGGTATTTTGCTGTACAGATGTCATTTATCCTGTTTTATTAAGAGACTCTGAAACTAGTCAGTTGATAGATACCAGCAAGATGCATTTAAAAACCTGTGCCATTTATTTTGTAATAATAGCTTAATCTGGGAATTGCAATTCTAATTTCTTAGAGTCCTATTGCAATTCCTCTGCCCTGTCCGAAGCATGTTGCAACACCAATGAGACTGAACAGGGACATCCAGAAAATCATGTCTTTGCCGGCAGACCTGCTATAATGTCATGACCAGCAAGAGCTGGAGGATTTAGGAATGAAGAGGTGAAAAGATCAAAAGGATGTCTTATGGCACAAAGAAGATATAGTTCTTTATGATGGCTGACCTTTAGCTGATACTGTGTAAATTACAGAGATGTTTTGATTGCTTCTTTATAACTTTTATTACTTTCTTGTAGTTAATTAAAAAAACAAAATTAGTATGCAGAAGAAATCCTTTCAGGATTTTTGAATATCTGCAACTCAGTCTAGAAGAGGTAAGTTTTGCATTCTCTCTTGGTTTGTATCTGCATATATTGAGAAAAAGCCTTATAAGGAAGTCTCTTTTTCCAAAGTCTAAGCTGAAAACTTCCAGGCACATTTTTAGATTGGGGAGATTAAATGGAAGCATGCATAACTGGAGCAGCAAAGTGTCATTGTCTAGCAAGCCCTTCCATTGTAGGAAGATGGCTTTTTAAGCAGCAACTAGCTGGAGTTACAGATCTTCTATGTCATTTGCCACCAACTGCTGCATGATAGCAAAGTTGACTCACCAAGTCTCTAACCACCTCATACTTTTTCACAGAATTTGTTCCCTGAGATTTCACCTTGATTTCCTCCTTTAGCAATGTATTTCTGTTGCTTAGCACTAATATACATTATGGAAGCCTACTGCTCCCTGGACTCCTTCCATTTTGTGGTAGTACATAAGTAAAGGAAGGAATATCCTTTTTTCCCCCAGTTTAACTTGCTTAGGAAAAATGTCTGCAGCATTGTAATTACTGTGCAGAAATACTTTTGTATAATCCAATACTTGCCTATTCAGATATAAATAATCATATCTAAACCATTTTCTGTTTATCAGATTGTCAATATTATGCTATAATTGTAGGAACTTTAAATATATTTCCTTTTCAGCTCTCTACTGTATATAAGGATGCTTTCTCAGAACTCTAATACTTTAAACATGCACAAACTAATTTTATTTGATGTCATTTTTAGGCTTTTTTCTTGGTCTATGCTCTGGGATGTTTAAATATTTATTGCAATGAGGTAAGTTGATGCCCGTTGTCAGTAGTAACTCCTGAGTGAGACTTCTGTTAATTGGAGTATTGCTTATTAGCAAATAATAAAGCACACTGTTTTTAAGGCACTTTGTATCAACTTTAAAAAGGGATGCTAATTTTTCCTTTAGTATAAAGGAAAAATCTTACTTATTTGTGCATGTAAACAATTTTACTTATTTGTGCATGTAAATAATTTTTGGGCATATTCCTGAAGTAATATTTCTGTTTAGAACTGGCCAGTCTACTTCTATACAAGTATGGAGCAATTATTTTTTTAAAAGAAAGTGTACAGGACAGTTTTTTCAGAAATTATTGTTGATCTTTTATAATTCTGGAATGTTAATAGTCCTACCAAGCTACTATTGTGTGCTTTTGATAATAAATTTCACACTTGGCTTCTATTTTGTGTGTTTTCATAATTTTGCAAAATAAAGCACTGTTTATGACATTTCTATAATAGTAGAATATATTCATTTACAATAATCATATGGTGGTATTTTTCAGGTACCTTTATCTATCCTGAAGCTATGGGACCTTTTTAGCAAAGGACAACCCAATTTTAAGGCTACATACATGGCTTATCATTACTTCCGCAGTAAAGGATGGGTCCCTAAAGTTGGCTTGAAATATGGAACTGATTTGTGTAAGTAGTATTCTTTCATTATTAGCATCTAATGAAGTACTTGTACAAGAAAACATCTATTCACTTGATGGTGATGATATTTATATCCCACTTTTATTTTATACTACTCAAGGTAACATACATAATGCTTCCGCCTTGTATTTTCTCCACAAAAGCAACCCTGTGGGTTGGGTTGGGCTGAGAGGATGATGATTATTAGCCCATTATAGGTAGACCTCATTTAGTGACTGCCTTGGACAGTGACTGTTTGCAGTTATGACAGTGATGAAGATGTAACTTTATGACCTTCACAGGTCTGTAAAGCACAGGAAAGCTGAAGTAAGATTGTAAGCACAGTCACAGTTTCACTTAGTGACCCCTTCACTTAACCTAGTTGCCGGTCCCAGATATGGTCGCTAAAGGAGGACTACCTGTATATGCACAGCATGTTGTCTGTTCTTGTCTGGTTTTGTTGCCACCCTCAATTCAGACATTGTCCTGAATTAGTGTTAAGTAGTGAATTCCCAGATCCTGTCTGGAATGAATGAATGCATGGTATTTTGTACATCTAGAACATAATTCTATGCTCCAGATGAATGAGGAAATGACAGCATTGGAACAGTATGCTAGTAGGTGCTGCTGCATTCTCCTCTTTATGATGGCCAAATGGAGCCATCCAGGTCAGCTCATAATCATTTTGATGAGATAATCTTCATTTCCTTGGAGCGATATGTTGATTCAAGTAGCAGTAAGTTAGAGAAAATCACATGTGGGGTTTTAATAAGAATTTTAATGCAAGTATCAGCATAGCTGACCTCCCATAGCATGCAAATGCATGATTAAATTATTTACATAGTTTTATCTGGTTAAATCCAAACTTAAATAATTTTGGGTCTTTATATAATAATGTATCTCTTTCACAAAAGAAAGAGGGTATTTTGCTTACTAAGTACTTCCCCTTTTTTCAGTCTTCCTCCCATTGATTCGTTTAAATAATATATGTGTGTACTGCTGTAATCTTAAATGTTTAATTGGTACTCTACTATCCAGTGTGTATGAAATGCTTTTTATTATAAGCAAAACAAGATTTAAAATCTACTGCTGATGTTTATTATTAATATTACTGAATTCATTTTTAAATATAGAGCTCTAGTTTTGTTTTTCCCAATTCTTTGCAAAGCTTGTGAGCATGGTGAATGAGCCCAGGAATTTCCTAATTCCTAAGTCCTTATTGGGATGTATTGAGAACAGTCTGTTCTCATCACTTCCTTTCTCATACCCAACATAATAGAGTTTTATCTTCAAGTTAAGTAAGATAATGTAGACCACTTTTTCCAAAACATGTGAACTTTAAAGCATGTTATTTATGCATTAATACCTATCTGCTATTAAACATTCTGTTTACATACTGCTAAACAATCATTTGGCAGCATATGCTACAGTGCATTAGTTGGTTGTGTTATGTGAGTGTTCCTCTTTGTTTACATTCAGTCATTCTTTAGTGGGGTTGATGTTCTGCTCCTAGGAATATGGGCTATTGTCTTGAGTATAGTTAATTCTGCCTGTTATATTCCTGGAATATATCATGTGAAGGCAGCTGTAGTCTTCCCTGTAAGTGTGTGTTTAGACTGAAAATCCCATTTTAGGCCTGGTGCTGTCTGGGGAAAAATGTTGGCAAATATTGGGGAAGAATAAGGTTGGGCTTTATTGTTTTTTGAATATATGATTGTGAATGTTTATGTATTAAGTGGCCAGTTCAGCTGATGTGTAGTATTTTCTTACTGCACATCAATAAAACAGTATAAAACTAAGTAAAAATCAGTTTACTTTCAATAAGTATGATTTCTACTTATTTTGAGTATATTCATCTTATAACAGTGATTAGAATACAAGCTTATCTTACTATATGGTTTAGATTCTCAAAGTTGTATAATGGGTTACCACAATCTTACACTATAACTGAAAACAAAAAGCATGACATTTCTAGTAAATGAATGTTCATTTTATTCCTGTTGTAGTGCTATATCGAAAAGGCCCTCCTTTTTACCATGCCAGGTATAGCATAAAGGTTTGGATATAATTTTCATTTTACTATGTATTATGTTTAACTTTGATACTATTTTAAAACATGATCATATGTTTGTTTCTAATTTGCTTTGATATAATTCAGAATATCATTTTTCCAAAACTAAGGCCGAGAGAAGCCTCAAATTAGGAAAGCCCATAAGTGGCCATCTTCAATAAGGACATTGAGATAACTGATCCAACACTAGAACGTTCTGCTATCCACAGAATAGCCCTGGAGATGCCCTGAGATTCAAATAAGAGATTCAAGTAACAAATAGTTGGAATTTCAGACATAAAGAAAAATATGTATTTATTTATGCATACATGTATGCAATTTCTGTAGCTGCCCATCTCAGTCCAAGTGGTTCTGGGCATATTAATGTTGATTTTGGCATACTTACATTATTAGTATGCATTTTATTAAAAGCTATCCATGTGGTCTTTAAACACTGCTTTGATGAGTGCAAACCGTGTTGTTTCTTCTACTAATGGAAGCTTTCTACTTAAATCATGAAAGTGGGTGGTGATGGGTCCCTCTCCTCACAAATACCTGTTCTGGGGGATCCTCCCTGCTGACCAGAGGTGATTTGGAGAGGGGGATATGGCTGCAGTGGGCGGGGGGATGACTTGCTCACGCCTCTGATAGAAGCAGTTTCATCATTGTAATATAACATTGGATTTTACCCTTCTCTTAAACTACATGGTCTGCTTGCCTTTTTAAATGAATATCGTGGAAAAATATCCCTAACTTACCAACTTCATGAAAAAAGCATTTAATACCCAGTTGCTTGCTAAATTGGTTCTTTCACCTATGCTGAAGGAGCCATCAGTACTTAAATTATTATTTGGTTGTAGTTTTTGAATACATGTTTTAACTGATCACCCTAAAAAAAAGATCTTGGGGGTTATTTTACAGCTATTCTGTGATTGCCGAATTAGTTAATGAAGATTTTGATGGACCACTGCACAGACCATTCAGCTGGAAATCTTTGTCTGGACTGAACAGAACTACAGCAAATGTTTCTAAGGTAGCCAATAAGAAGAATCATTTTAAAGTACACCAAAAATGCTATGAAGGGAAACACATAACTTTAATGACAGAGGGAGAGATTATGTAAAGCATATAGTCGAAAAATGTTGCAATAAATGAGAATATATATATATGTATGTTTCTGGTTATCACTGGAAAATCATCTTTTCCACAAATGTTGCATTGTGTGAATTGGAAGACAACCACAAATGTGATCTGGTTGACTCTAAGGCTGCTTTCATAGAGAAAAGATTGTTCTTTTCCATCTTTAATTTTCCATCACTAATATGAAGCAGATTTTAGATCCCATATTTCAAAAAAGAGTGAAAAAAGCCTAAACTTTCACAGTAATGGTCTACTGGCATACAAAATTTCAACTTTCCAGCTTTTCTGGGGTCTTGAGTGATTCATATTCTGTTTCTCTAGTAATTGAAATTTCCTTTAATACTTACTTACCAAGTGCTTTTACAGAACACTTCAAGTACCTTTTTATTTAGTTTGTCCTAATATACTTTTTAGAATTAATGTTGATAAGCCCCACTGTACATTCTAGGAAGGCTAAATGGCTGGAAAGAAGCAACTGAATTATAGTAACAATAGATGAGCGTCATCTCTGAAGGCCCAGAATCCTAATTTTTAGGGCTTTGCACCACTTCAGATTCAAAGGGAAAATGGTGCTTCGGAAGACCCACGAGTACAAACATAATACATGCCTACAACTCCTTCCACCAAATGCATGTTTTCTTGAGACTGGGCTACAATGGAAAGCCACAGCTGCTTTCAGGAGTTGCAGGCAGGTCTACATTTGTATCCCCACCCACTTCAAAGTATATTTTGCCTTTGAATCCAAAGTGCTGCATATCCCTATAGGTTACCTGTTTGCACACAAGCATTTTTCTCACCTCAATTTCCTTTGAAAATTAGCTCTAGAAAATCACTGAATGGTTTGGAGCTTCCCCAGAAGCAGTAAAGTGAACAAAAGAGCTTCCAGTGCTTTTCTGAAAACCAGAAGACTTTGTATTCAGCACACTCTTATATAAGGACTCTTTTACCCTTGTTTTTACTCAGAATAATAGATGCTGTCTGTCCCATTACTATTATAAAGAGTGAATTAATCTTAATTTGAAGAAAAAATGTAGCATATTTACATTTACTTGACATTTTGATAACATAATTTATTTGTCATCAGGAACTCATGTTCTGCTATTTGATTAAGCCATCTGATATGAATGAAAAAGAAATGCTTTCACCTGAATGTCTCAAAAGAATGAAAGTTCAGGTATGTATATCTCTTCCCAATTTAATGTTTTGTCAGGTATGAACATTGAACTATTTATTTATTTATTTATTTAATGCTATAGACCTAGGAGTATAATACCTGGCTTTTGGAATTTAGAACAAATGCATAATATCTGGATTTGCAATACAATTAAATCTATCTTAGTATATCAGAATTATCTGAGTCATTTATACTCTGTCAATTCTCTAAAGCCAAAGACATATGTTAGAAGAGATTGAAATGCAACCACACATTTGTTTGCACAACAGTTTCATTTCTTCCTAAGAAATAGGAATGATGGAGGATCCAAGTACATTAAACTAATTTGTCCAGCAATATGTTACAGGTAATCCTTGTTTAGTGACTGCCTTGTTTAGCAACCGTTCACAGTTATGATGGTGATGAAAAAGTAACTTTGCAACCAGTCCTCACATTTACAACCTTTGCAGGTCTGTAAAGCAAAGGAAAGCTGAAGTAAGATTATAAGCACAATCACAGTTTCACTTAGCAACTGCTTCACTTAATGACAGAGTTGCCAGTCCCAGTTGTGGTCACTAAACAAGAACTGCTTGTAATTGCCTTTGAAAGAGCATTGCCAGAAATGATGCTTTAGTATAGTAAAAAAAAAAAAAAAACCCTTTGAAAATAGTGGTTTGGGTGGAAAATATCCTGTTTTTCATCCTAAGGGAATTTGAGCTTATCTTATCTTGAAATGAAGCAGCCCCATCAAATCACAGGAACCCTGTGAAGCATTCACAATACTGGAATGATATGTTCAAAGAGAAAAGGTTAAAAAAAATTCATCTCATAATATGTGCAATGCTAAAAATAACACTTTAGATCTCAGCTGTGTAAAACATTCATCAGATAGTAAGTTGATCCTAAAAAATCTAGAAGGTCAGCCAGATGATACTCGAAGTGCTATTGCAACTAGTACAGGCAATTCTCATTATTTGCGATAGTTACATTCTGTGAAAATGCAACAAATACTGAATTAGCAAATGCTGAAACCTCAGATGGGAATGCACACATCAGGCAATTCCAACATTTTGCCACTCTGCCTATCCGCAAATAGGTGTGACAGTGCCGTTAGTACTGATTTCGAGGTGACAAAAATATTTTCTCAAATAAGCCAATTCACAAAAATGGACCCCATGAATAACGAGGATTGCCTGTATTCACATTGATGAACTATTGCCTTATTTAAAGATGAAACAATAATTATATATTGACTACAGGGAAACAATATTAGGAAAGAACCATTTCCACTAATAGTCTTAGGCCTCTGGTTTGCTATAGCTTGGTGTGGACTAAACGCTTATGTAGAAGCAATCCAAGTGCAGAGTTTCTCCTTTTAGCTATCTCTTTAATAGGAAAATATACATTAGCTAACAATATTATTTGGTAAACATATTTATATACTTTACATATTTTATAATCAGTGTCTCTCTTTTTAAAGGAATTAATTCTAAATCGCTGGGTTTCATCCTGTGAACGCAGTGAACAAGAAGAGCTGTGAAAACTGGAATCAGAAAATTGAGTAATATTGAGTAATAGAGTTGCAGTAAACTAAATTGTAACTATTCCTCCTTCTAGCATGTTTATATTAAGTGTATATAATACGCAGCACTATAAGTTTGATTTTTAAAAAACTCAAATAGATGGTGACAGTTATTATTTGACAATGTCTTACATAAGCAGAAAAAACATTACAAGTCTCTTCTCAGCTGAGCATGTTCTGTGACTATTAGCCTAATACTTGTAGAGATAATTAACTTCTACTATAGTCTTAGCTCCAGAACGTTGTTCTAGTGACGCCACTGCTTACCGAAATTGTGTTTTCACCACAGATAAAATTGGTTTTTCCTGCTACAATGATTTATTCTTATATATGTATGTAGGAGCTGGCTTAGTTCAATTAAAATTAAACCAAAAAAATACAATATTTTTTTTACTTCTGTCAACCAAGATTTTTGCCACAATGTATTAAACATTAGGCACAAATAAAAGTACATTTTTCTTGATGTGGTTGATGAGTGTAGATAATGCCATGAATGTTGAATTTAATTCTGTTGGTAGGAATTTCCCCTAAGGTTGGTAGGAACTCCCCCCCCCCGATTTTCCCCATTCATGGACATTCCCACAGAAAGAGGAGAGATTTCAGTGTTTTTCCTAGATAATGCTGTCTAGAGTAGGGAAAGCGGAATTACTAAAAATTGCCTTCCACTTCCAACAGAAAGAAGGATCCACCTTTGTTTCTTCATGATGAGCATGAATATTTTTTTGTGTTCATAGATTCTTAGGGTTCATATCAATGTCTTTATTAAGGTAATGCTAAATATTATCATTTAGACAGGTAGAAAGGTTATTAGAAAGATTACATTGTGTTTCAGTTTTATTAATAATAGGAAATAGTTCTCACTATTCTCTTCAATTTCCATCCAATTAAATTTGTTAGTTATGTTTTCCACTTTCCTTACAACAGGATAGGAACAATGCCTTATGTCTTAACCTGATTATTTTAGTTTCATTTACTGTCAATAAATGCTTCATTCTAAAGCGAAATGGCATTTGTGGAAGTACTGCCTTTTGGAGCAGGATGCTCAACAACGTAAAATCCAGTCTTGCATATTTCCTTGTAGATGGTGATATATTTGGAAGCTTTTCTTGTTCGCGGAATTACAAACTTCTCTGTAAATTCATTTTTATTCATTTGCTGTTGCTTTTGGGCACTCAGCACACAATTAATAAATGTTAGTGCATAAGTGTAACAATTATGGAAACATTCTTCATACCTATTAAATAAATAATGAGAAATGAGCCTCAAAGTAACAAGAACAAAGCTCCTGTGTAACTACCAAATATTTTATAAATTTCTGGTACATTTACATTACATTGCCTCAATGGGAATAGAATTGCAAACAAATCTTTACTTATTTAACATATCTATGCTGCTCTTTAACCAAAAAAGACATTCAAAAACCCTGTTATTCAGTTTAAATAAGGGAGAGGAAAAAAGCAACCCAGGCACTGGTTTTTAGTTGCAAATTTTTATCATGTTCAGCTAGAATTGAAATAAATTAAAGGGGAGTAATTAGTTTGCAGAAGCAGAGTTGCGTAGCAAATAGGCAGCCTTATAAATAGAACAGATATAGAAATAAGAAAAAGTGTGGCAAATAACATTGTCATACAAGAATTTTGCAATACATTATTTACTAGAGCTGTGCATCCTTTGAACATTATTCAAAGAAGTGTGAGCTTAGTAGCTTCTTGCATGGAAGGCTGAAAAAATTCAGATTGCTTAACTGATTGTAGGAAAGCACTGCACTTAGGCAAAGTCCAAATCATTTTTGAAGTGTGTTTATGTTCTTAGTTTATATTATCATTAAAGCTCAGTGCCCCTATTGTGATAAAAAGCAAATCTGTTTACAATTTTCTTCAAATCAAAAGACTGACATTTACCAATAGAGGCGAATATGTGTAGCTCAGGGTTGAACTGTGGAGTCCTTGGGGTTCTCTGAGCTTGGTTCTTTTCTTGCAAACGTTTCATTACGCGGCTAGGTAACGTCTTCGGTGCTAAAATGGGATGGGGTTTGCTCTCTATTTATAAACGTTATATAACCTTTGCTTATCTGGGTGATGATTGCTGGTGAGGCGATCTTCTGGTCTTTTGTCTCTTTTGAATTGTATGCAGATGCTGTTAATCTCTGTGACTGTTAATTGCTGCCTTGTCTGAATACGAGGCTTCCAAGGATTCTCTGGCATATTTGGATTTAGCTTGGTCTAAAATGCTGACAGTTTCC